TTAGGTGATTTCTTTGAATTCCGTGACTTCATAGAAGGTTACTCTTGTGTCTTAGGGATGATTTATATCCCTAGAGACTTGGTTTATCTTCTGCTTCCGCATTTTGGATCCGTTATCGAGTCAACTTTCAGTTCATCACTGATGCACCGAGTTGAAAAACTTGGGCTGTCACAGTAGGTAACTGCTTTATTCTCTCGTTTGAGATGACAAAGGGGGAGAAAGATGTGTTCTTATGCTTAATTGTCTATTCTATTGCTTTTTAATTATATATCTTGATAGATTCATATTGTTAGAGGGAGACTTGTAAAAATATCTATGAAATCTAAATGCTCTTAAATGTCTAAAATATCTGTTGTAAAATCAAGCATGAAATGATATTCAAGATATGCTTATTGATAGGGGGAGCATTCTTTCAAATGCAATTCCACGTTGACAATAAACACATCAATGTTTTGTCATCATAAAAAAGGGGGAGATTGTTGGCCTAAGGATTTTATCTAAATGTCAATCTTATGTTTTGATGATTACAAACCATTAATAATGTTTAAGTACTGATATTTTCGTTGAGTAATATATAGTTGATCAATATTCAACCCTCAATGTTGAGCTAGAAGATCCATTCCAAGCATTCCAAATACTCAAGCTATGGATTCAAGGAAGCCTCAAAGTTGCAAGAAATTAAAGAAAAACTCGGACTTCAAAGATCATTAAAGCTTTTCAGCAAGTCTTCATCAAGCCTAAACGATCATGGTCAAGAAATGAAGAAAATGGTAGATAGGAAGGTGAGATCTTAAGATTTAATGTCAAAGTTCATTTGAATATATTTTGAAACTTAATGTTATAGTTCATGCATAGCATAGCATTCTCGTTTCATTTTTCAAAAAACATAAAATTAGCTCATTAAGTTTTTGAACACATTCACACATGAGCCACACATCATATGAAGTGTAGATAGGACTTAAATAAATTCATTTCAAGTCTCATACAGCAATGGAGAAGGCTCCATGAAAAATAGAGAAAGCTCTATGAAAGTCAGAGAAGGCTCCATGAAAGATAGAGAAGGCTCTCTGAAAGACATAGAAGGCTCCATGAAAGACAGAGCATGCTCTCAACATTCCAGTAGGCTTTTTAAACGAAAAATTAATTCTTCCAACCAAAGAGCAGGCTCCCAAAATAGGGAGCAGGCTCTAAGAGGTTGGGAGCCGACTCCATGCAATGGAGAACCGGCTCTCAAGGCTAGGGAGCCGCCTCCTCTTGTTTTACAAGAGCCGGCTCCTTCTAGTCAATTAGTGACTAACACTTGTTACCAACACTTTATATGAAAATTATGACTAAATTCATGAAGGAATAGCTGCAGAGGACGAAATGTAAAAGGGGCAGTAAGCTTTACGATAATTGAGGTTTGTATAATTGGTCCGAACAACTTAGAAAGTTCCTTAGGTGATAGTTGATTTTGCACCTTAGGAAATTTCTAACTGTAAAAAATGAGACCACTAATTGATGTGCATATAATAAAATGAATGCCTAGTAATCTTGATCTAAAAGCAGCCAATAATTGACATAGTATATAATATTTAAATTATACAAATATATATTTAAATTATTTATCTTGATCACATGGTTATCATTATATTGAGTTAAATATCATATGAAATGAATATTTACAAATGATGAGTGAATTGATTCATTTGTGTATTCTTCAAATTTTTGTTTTTGAATATTTTTTTATTTTAAAAAAATGAAATATCGAGTTTTATATAAAGTTTATTTGTTATATAAAATGTTTATTTCATCACGTGCATCGCACGTGAATTTTCTTAGTAATCACATAAACATATAGCCAATTAATTAAATAAAATACAAATAAAATAATTAAATAAATCCTCTGAAAATTAGGGGTATTACGCAAGGACCCTCTGAATTTTTAGTTGAGGCGCGCACACAGAGCTTTATTCAATCGCCGTCGCCACCAGTTGCCCCACCGACCGAGACGAAGCTTTTAACTCATCCAATAACCAATAATTGTGTTTTAATTTGTATACTTTGTTGGCATATATAAGCATTTTTTGGTTTAAGGGTTCGCTTGCGATCCTTTTTGCAATAGTCCCCAATTCACCATTGCAGATCTAGAGGCCACCACACACACATAAGGGTTGGTTTAGTGAGTTTGAGACCAAGTTTGAAGGGAATTGAGTTGACTCAGGTGAGCATGGTGACGATGATGGGATCGCCGGGTAAAGCTTATTAGTGGTTTCAATGTGAGTGAAAGGCTGTCTCGATGAGGATGAACTCGCCATCAGTGTCCCATATGCGAATCGAAAGGTCAGAAAAACGATTGGAGATTTGGAAAAGAAAGAAGACGACGAACCATTCATCTTCAAGATTGTCACCAAAGCGGAGGTGGTGGAAGAGAGAGAAAGATTGAAGGGTTGGTGTTGCCATATGTAGTGAGTGGTGAGAGGAGAGAGAAATTGGAGATTAAGAGTGTTGGTGGAGGTCAAAACAGAGGATGATGAAGGAAGTTGAGTGTTTTTGATGTATGGTTTGGGTTGCAGATAGAGAGAGAGAGTACAAATGGAGTGAAAGTGATTAGGGATGGGTATTTTTGTAATTTAAAAAAAATAATTTTTAGTTGTAAATTTAACATTAAATAGTAAGGTTAAATTTGTCATTTCACACTCCGGTTAGTAGGTCAGACACGGATATTGGGACAATGTGATTGCTTTTTAAAAGTGTTGGGATTTTCTAAAACAGGTTGGGGTTTTATAATCAAAATTTGAAAGTAGTGAGGGTTTATGATTTTAACTCTATATTATAGGATAAATTACATAGACCTCTCTTATAGTTTGCCATAATTACAGAGACCTACCTTGTGGTTTGAAAATTTACTAAGACCTCCCTTAAAAATGAAACTATCCTACATGGACCTCCCTTGTTAGTGACGAACCGTCAAAAGGACTAACAGACTTGTCTAGTTTACTGAAATACTCTCAAACTACTCTGGTAAATCACTGAACTACCCATAGGATTATATATATATATATATATATATATATATATATATATATTGATGTAGTATGGTCTGATGAGGAACTGAAGATATGAGTTTCAGAGAATTAATTGATTTGTTACGGTTCGATATTGATAATATTTGATTGATTTGTTTCAAATGACTAGAATTAGAAAACAGAGAAGTATTAGTTTAGAAGAAATCAAATGAATATGAAGTGATTATGTTATGTTTATCCCTTTTTGTTCTTAAACTGAACAATGGAAGATTTGCCATAAATTTGAATTATTTCTTAAGTTTTGCAATTTTGCTCTAAATGAGGTCACAATTAGAGAAATCTCAACCATTCTCAAGCAAGACAATTGGGAATTGCTCATAGATTCAACAAACCTGCCTAACAAACTAAACCCAGATGTGTTCGATCCATTCTTCACCCAACATAATAAGAAAATTGACTCAGCTCCGAGTCCTCGGCCTTCAATCTTCGCAACAACCGCCTCTCCGGTCAGATTCCCTTTGATTTTTCAAATCTAAAGCTTATCCGGCAACAACTTCACTGGCACAACAATCTGACCAATTTCTTCTCCGGCGACAAGCGCGTCTCACCAGTTCTCCGCATCGCAGCCTTCAAGCTCATCGGCGACAAGGAATCTAACACGATTTCGCAGAGTACATCCCCACCACCACAACAGAGATCTCATCCGCGGTGATTGTTGCATTTATATTAGCGGAGCACTTCTCCTCTTTATGTTTTTAATTCTCTTCTTGTCTGTGGCAGTGGCTAAGGTGGGCACGGGCCTCTCCATCACCTTCGTTGCTTACTCTCTCTCTAAAGCGGAGGCTTGAATTGTTGAATTGTTTGTGTGTAAGGAAGGAAAAGAATGATGTGGCATATGAAGAAGAAAGAAGAGAGAAAATTAGGTTGCTATATATATATATATATATATATATATAGTTGTATCCAGATCAGTTAAGAAGGTAAGGGTAGGGATAAGTCGATTGTAATCCTAATAGTTATATAATTATAATATATATATATATAATGGTAGGGATAAGAGTATTATAGGCATTTTACTTAATTTGGTACATGACGTCAGCACAATTTTGCCATTGATTGATGTTAATTCTAAAAGAAGGAGAACTGTGTAGGATAATTTCATTGTTAGGAGAGATTTAAGTAAATTTTCAAATTACAGAGAGGTTCCTGTAATTATGGTAAATTATATGGAAAGTTCGTGTAATTTATCCTGTATTATATATGAAAAATGAGAGAAAATATTTCTATTTCATAAAAATAAATAAGAGTATTATATATATATGTGTGTGTATATATATATATATTATATAAGAGTATTATATATAGAAAAGAGAGAAAAATGAATAAGGGTTATTATTATTATTTTTTTGTCGTTTAGTAAGGAGTAGTTTAGTTAGTGCAAAAGGGTAGTATGGGTATTAAAGGATATTTTTTAGTTACATGATCCGCACATGCCACTTTAGGAGTTAGAAGCCCTTATTTGCACACTTTGGAAACTATAGGGGTGGAATTTGAATTCGGAAGGTATTATTTGTTCACTTTTGAAATTGTTCACTTTTAAAATTATGAAGGAGTTTTTTACACTTCACCCTCTTTCAAGGTGGGGTTGGAGAAGAAGACCAGTAAAGAAGGGATTGAGGATATTGGACAGAATAAAGGGTATTCCAATGAAGGGTATTTTGGATAATAAAATTAAATAGTCACTTATTGACGATCATTTTTTAAGTTTGGTTACTATTTAACTTTTATTGAGTTTAAGGTCAAAGTTTTTTTTTTTATTTTGGTCACCCAAATTTAATTTTTCCTAACCGGCAAGTTTATTTTTTCCCTAAATAAAATAAATTAACTAGGTTTTACATCCGGGATAATTTTGGCATAGGGGATTATAAATAAAATAAAATAGTTAAGTGGGTTTTATACAATTAATCCCAAAAAAAAAAATTTAAATTTGAAAACCCTAACCATTATGAGCTGTTGAAGCAAATTTGAATTTGAGAAAAGGAAGGGGGGGGGGGGAGAGAGAGAGAGCGGGGTAGAATTGTCGAAGCATGAAACCCCTCCCGGCATCGAGTTCGTCTTATAAAAATCCCGTCAAGTTCAGGATGTAAGTATAAGTCTTATTGTTTTAATAAATTTTCTCAGCTGAAATATATATTAATTTGTGTATACGTACCGTTTTCGAAGAGCAGACCAACGGCCGACAATCTAGTTCCAATTCGTCTGGACATTGAAATCGACGGACAGAGGTTCAGAGATGCGTTTACATGGAACCCATCCGGTACTTGTTTGCATCACTTCATTACCTTCTTCGTTTTGCTCTTGCTTTTTCTTGTTTTAATTTTCATGAATTTATAGCAATATTTCCTTTTTTTTATTTTTATTTTTATTTTTTTTCATTATTTTCAATTTTTTATTTTATTTTAGTAATTGGATACAATGCGCTTAGCCTGAGGCAAGAGTGAAACTTTGTTTCAGAAAATCAAATAACTTGCTTCATGGTTTATTGATTTCCATCTAGCCACTGAAAATCAAAAGTCTCGTAAGAGGATAAGCACTCATCATAGTAGTATATTACGCCTAATATGTTTGTGTTTTATATGTGGATTACTGGGAATCAATAGCATATAATCCTTGTTCTGTAACTGAAGTATTGCAATTCATTGATTAAAAATCAACAGAGAATCAGTTCAATCATTGAGGGTAATCCTATTGAGGCGTGGTTGGAAGTGTTTAGGGATGATTGCATGTCTTTTTGTTTCTTTTTTTTTTTTTTTTTTTTTTGATAAGTTAGGGATGATTGCATGTCTTTTTGTCAAAGTTGTCTAATAATTGATGATGACTAAGAAGTTGCATGATGATTGGCGCAAAAGTAATTTTATGTATATCTATAGAAATAAGGGGAATATTTTATCTGTAAAATATTGTAGTGTCAAATTAATGAGTATACCATGAACCTATGGGAGAGAGAGATCTAATAGAAATTAAGATGTGAAACAGCAAGTTAGAAAGTCAAGATGGACTTATGTCGGGAAGGTCAATAATGAAATCTATCTATTTTTTGAATTTACTAATGGAAAGATATAAAGAAAGAAAGAAAGACATTAATATGATTTTTATAGATTTAGGGAAGTTTAAAAAGCGTGACGGAGTAATGCCGCGTGAAGTTAGAAGACCCAAGGGTCGTGAAGGTGTGAAACTGCAATTTAGAAAGTCAAAATGGATTTATGTCGGGAAGGTCAACAATGAAATCTATTTATTTATTGAGTTGACTAATAGATAGGTATAAAGAAAAAAGAAAGATATTATAAAAAAAAAAAATGATTTTTATAGATTTGGGGAAGTTTTAAAAGCCTGACGGAGTATGCTGTGTGAAGGTAGAAGACCCAAGGGTCATGAGCTTCTTTTCTAAGAGAAGAAGAAATGACGGTATTTGGAGAAATAATCATCAGACTAACTCTGTGATTGTAGACACAATAATACAAAGGATGCAAGGGTTATTTGGAATGATTTGGCTTAATGCGTATATTCCTCATTTCAGTCACTGGGATCCAGTGACTGAAATCAGCAACAAATTAGCTGAATAAAGTTAATAAACAACAATTCAGCTCTAAGTAACAATTGAGCTCTATTTTGGTAACTAAAATTCCCATGAATAATAGGATCGCAAAGTTTGGTGTGTGTGTGTGTAAAACCTTAAAATGAGGACGGGCTTTTTTTTTTTTTTTTGATAAATAAAGTTGTATTAAGAAGCGTTCAAAAGGAGAACACATTCCTTAAAAACTACATAAGGCCAAATAGGGCCTCTAAACTCTCGAGGAATCCAAAAAATCAACTATTTCATGCATAGATTTACAATTTTTCCCTAGAACCCAACAAAACAGTGTTAATAATGGAGAACTTCAGCGCGCCAATAAGGGTCTCCTTCCCTTCAAAAGATCTTCTATTTCTCTCAAGTCATAAACACCACCAGACGCACAAAGGCATGACCTTTAAGAAATCACGAACTTGGGCCCCCACTGGACATCCTTTCCAAGCCTCAACCAATCCTCTGGAAGGCCTGGGCATAACCCACTGAACCCTCAAACAAAGTCAGCATCGGCATCCAGGTCCAACAATCCCACCTACTGGGGAATGCAAAAGAAGATGATTCATTGTCTTCTCATTTCTTAAGCACATGCTACAACAGTTGACCACTACTTGTCCCCTCCTATCTTGGGTCAAAATCTTCCCCAACACCGATGTCTAGGCGAAAAAAGCCACTTTAAGAGGTGCCTTAGAATGCCAAATAGCCTTACATAGGAACGAATTCCCTGGAACATCCGTATGACACCTATAGAAAGACCGAACTTTAAAAGACCCTGGGACGAAGGAACCCAAACAACAGAATCAGGAACTTCATCCACAATCTCCCGGCGATACAATAACTCCAAAAAACCAAAAGCATCCACAATATCCCAATCATGAAAGTGCCTTTGAAAGCGCACATCCCACCATCGAGGCGACAGTGGTCAAACCCCAAGGTGCGTCTGTCCGTAGCAATCCTGAAAAGTGTAGGGAAAGAGAAGGCAAGAGAACGGTCACCACAACAGATATCCTCCCAGAAACAAATCTTGTTGACATCCCCAACTCGAAATTTGATGTGTTTAGAAATTCATCCCACCCCTTTCTGATGGATTTCCAAATCCCAACTCCACTTGGAATCCTTAGATCCGAAGAGCACCATCCACCTCTGATCTTCCCAAATCTACTGGCTATCACCCTCCTCCACAATCTATGCCTCTCCACCCCAAACCTCCATAGCCACTTCCCCAAGACGGCCTTATTGAGGGCGGGCCTTGGTGCAACGGTAAGGTTGCTCCACTGTGCCCTAGAGGTCACATGTTTAAAACAAGGAAACAATCTTTCTGGATGTGGAGGTAAGGCTGTATATATCTGACCTTCCCAGACCCCACAATGGTGGGAGACTTGTTCACTTGGTTAGCCCTTATATATAACCTTAATACAAATTAGTAACAAATCAGTGGGTTTCGGTGTGCTTGTTTATATGTGTGAGAGAGGGTATACACACGTATGGTCCAAGAATTGGATTATTTCTTTAGGCAACCAACCAAGAAATAAATTTTATCACCAACTTACTTTTAGAATCCACATCTATAATAGTGCACGTTACTAAGACTGCATTTTTATACTTTTACTGTCTAATATAGGTGTTTGGGCTAAGCCGTTAAATATCTTTTATAAAGGGTAATCTTATATGAATGATTTGTCATTGAAGACATACAATCTTTTCTTGTTTGTCTTATGAACTATTTGCATGTCTATTTGAATGACATAGATCCAGATTCAGAGGTGGTGGTGTTTGCAAAAAGGACTGTGAAAGACTTGAAGCTTCCTCCAGCATTTGTTACGCAAATTGCTCAGTCTATTCAAGTAAGTTAAATAATTAGCCCATACCTTGACTTTCTTTGTAGGACATTGCTATTTCTTATATTATCCCACTATATCACTTTTTGGTACTTCCAATATTTGACATTACTTAATCATGGGACGAGTTTAGAAAATTTGGGTAGCATGGGCGTGCAATTTATGAATGGCTTTATTTGTATGTACCAATGAGATAATATATACACGTGTATATGCATCCACAGTTATCATTACATGTGTGTGTGTCTACATGATTCCTACCGAGAAAAATATTAGAATATAAAACATTTTAGCATTCCTAAACCTGTGATACACTACCTCGAACTTAAACTCTTGATCTCTTAACTTGATTTCCCTTGGAAAGCTATTTGGACACTGATTGAGCTGTGATTTTACTTAACGAACTTAAGCTTTTTGTTGCTCTAAAAGGCTTAAATGGTCTTCCGTTCGAGACTGAGGCGAATCATGCTCATGAACTGATGACGAATGTTACGGATGATCCTGGAACAGAGCTGGATATGCAATTAAATATGTACCGGAACGGTGAAGAGAGTGAGGGGGAGGAGTATGATGATCGGGTTTCTTCTCAACAAGTCTGTCCTCATGATTTTTTTCTCCTGGGGAATGGATCAATCTGATGTGAACATAATGGAACCTCTGGCAGTTGTGTGCCCTGATTGCTTAGAGACAGTTAACGATTCGAGTATGGACATATTGGCGTGGTTAGTGAAGCTTTGGGTGTCTCTTCGGAGGGTGATGATGACCGAACTCAATCCATTCTTCATGCTATTGTGGCAGGAAACGACAATATAGAGAACTATCAAAGCACAAAAGTTGTTAAAAATAGAAAACATTTATCACATCGGAAAGTCAACTACGAGGGGAAGGATGGGGTGACTAAAGAAAGGGGAAGGACCAGAAGTGGGAAATGGGGAGAAGGGGAAATGATCATTTTTGGTTTTCAATGAAGATACGAATTATTACATGGAACGTCTGTGGTTTAAATGATCCGGACAAAGAAGGGTGGTCAAGGTTGCTGTGAGGAAGTGGAATGTCCATGTTATTTGCTTGCAAGAAACCAAGATGGCCTCTATTACCAATGAAGTGGTTAGGAGTCTTTGGGGAGGCTGGTTCGTGGAATGGGAAGCGTTAAACGCCTCCGGTGCATCGGGCGGAATTCTTATTATGTGGGATCGAAGATGGCTGTCTAGAACGAACTTCTGGAAAGGGCTCTTTCCTTTGTAATGTGTGTTTCAGATGGAGGATGACAATTTCAGTTGGGTCTTTTCTGGAGTTTATGGACCCGTTATTGATTGTGATAGACCTGTCTTCTGGGAAGAGCTTAGATACGTTAAGGAATTGTGGTCGTTGCCTTGGTGCTTAGGCGGGGACTTTAATTCTGTTAGGTCTCCATTCGAGAGATCCACAAGGGGTAGGTGGTCCTCGGAGATGACCCAGTTCTCTGATTTTATTGATGGTCACTTTCTTATTGATCTGTCATTGGAAGGGGCAGCTTTTACTTTGTCTAGTGGCAGAGATCCAGTTACTCTTTCAAGGCTGGATAGAATCCTGATTTTTGGGGATTGGGAAGAGAAATTCCCGGATGTTACTCAGGCAGCTTTGGTTAGGGTAACGTCCAATCATGTGCCCTTAGTTCTTGATTGCGGAGGAATGAGGTCTAGACGCATACCATTCCGCTTCGAAAATATGTGGTTGAGATCTGAGGACTTCCAAGGGAAAGTCCAGTCTTGGTGGGGGGAGGCAACTTTTACAGGATCTGCTAGCTATGTGCTTGCTAGGAAGTTTCAGATTCTCAAATCTGAGCTTAAGAAGTGGAACAAAGAGGTGTTTGGGAATCTTGAATGGAAGAAGAATGGAGTTCTGGTTGATATTGCTGAACTTGATCGTCTAAATGAGCTGGGGCATGATGCGGAGTCCTTACACTCTAGAAGAGCGTCTTGTTAGGTGATTTTTGCTGAGATTGCTGATATGGAGGAGATTTTGTGGTGTCAGAAATTTCGGGCATTGTGGCTAAAAGAAGATGACCGTAACACAAAATTCTTCCACAGGCTTGCTAACGCTCATAGAAGATGCAATCACATCGGGCGTATCCGTGTGAATGGTTCAGAGTTGTGGAGATAAGATGAGGTTTGTGGGGGAATTGTTTCTTTTTATTAGCAGCTTTATACCAAGACTTTGGGATGGAGACTTAAAGTTGATGGCTTGCAATTCGATGCTATTTCTACGCTGGATAGCGATAGGCTTGAGGTTCCTTTCACTGAAGAGGAAGTTCTCAAGGCGTTGTCAAGTTGTAATGGTGATAAAGCTCCAGGGCTAGATCAATTCGCCATGCGGTTTCTTAAGGAGAGTTGAGAGGTGGTGCGCAGTGAGGTGATGGGCACCTTTCAGGACTTTCATTCTCATGGCATATTTGAGAAATCATTGAACGCATCTTTCATTGCCCTTATTCCTAAGAAGGGTGACGCCTTTGATAGTAATGACTTTTGGCCAATCAGCTTAGTGGGGTGTATGTATAAGCTTATTGCCAAGGTCCTTGTTCTTAGGATGTGAAATGTTTTGGATGGAATTATCTCAGAGTCACAAAATGCTTTTGTTGGAGGACGGCAGATCTTGGATTCCGTTCTTATCGTAGGGGAACGTGTCGACTCTATGTTAAAGAGTGGAGTTCCTGGCGTCTTATGCAAACTTGACGTCGAGAAAGCCTATGATCACGTTAATTGGAAGTTTCTTCTTTACTTGCTTCGGAGGATGGGGTTCGGAGATAGGTGGATAAAATGGATCAAATTTTGTATCTCGCCCGTTATGTTCTTTGTACTTGTGAACGGATCTCCTGTTGGTTTTTTTGCGAATTCGCGCGGTTTGAGACAAGGAGATCCCTTATCGTCTTTTTTATTCCTTATTGTTATGGAGGGATTGAGCAGATTAGTGAAGAGAACGGAGGATCTGGGTTATATCAGGGGGTTCACAGTCGGTAGAGATGTTGCTCATCAGATTGAGATTTCCTATTTATTGTTTACGGACGATACTTTGGTTTTTAGTGATGCTGATGTGTCCTAACTCAGATACTTGAGGTGCATTCTTGCTTGTTTTCAAGGGTTGTCCGGACTTAAAATCAATGTTGGAAAGAGTGTGCTTGTCCCAGTGGGGGATGTTCCAGATATTTCCTCCTTAGTTGCAATTCTTGGGTGTGGAGTGGGCGCTTTTCCACTTCCTTATCTGGGATTGCCTTTTGGAGTTTCTTCTAGGAGAGTGGGGAGTTGGGATGCGGTGATTAACAGGTATGAAAAAAGATTGGCAAGATGGAAAAAACAGTATCTTTCGGGAGGGGGGGAGGGAAGGTCACTCTTATTAAGAGTACCCTCTTGTCCCTTCCCACCTATTTCTTATCATTATTTGAAATCTGGTGCTCTGTTGCTGAACGGATCGAAAAAATTCAGAGAGACTTTCTTTGGGGTGGAAGAGGAGAGGAGTTCAAGTATCATCTTGTTAATTGGGAGTAAGTTTGTAAACCTTTGAAATTAGGCGGTTTAGGTATTCGGAAGCTGGTCCCTTTCAATAGAGCTTTATTAGGACAGTGGTTATGGAGGTTCGGTAAAGAGTGTCATCAACAGTGGAGAAGAGTTGTCTCGTGTCGTTTTGGGGAGGAGAGTGGGGGTTGGTCCTCTCGTCCTGTTTCTATCATGGGAGGTGTTGGCGTTTGGAAATTCATTCGGAAGGGTTGGGATGTGTTTTCCACCCATATTAGATTCAAGGTTTGTAATGGTAGGTATGTTTGATTTTGGGAAGACTTATGGTGTGGTGATCAGTTGTTGTCTCTTTCCTTTCCTCGTCTTTTTAGTATTGCCGAGAACAAGCATGCTTACGTAGTTGATTGTATAGCAGTGGGGTTACGTAAGGTCTGTTTCAAGCGTTCTTTTCAGGATTGGGAGATGGCAGAAGTATGCGCTTTTTTGGATTTGTTGCATAGACGGAAGGGTGTTGGCAGAGGTTGTGATGATATTCTGTGGGTCCCTTCCACTCATGGTAAATATGGAGTACGATCCATGTTCTTGTGTTTGTCTAATTTCGTTGGCTAAGAATTCTCATGGAAGCCTATTTAGCGCTCTAAAGCTCCTCCTCAAGTTGCATTCTTTGTTTGGACTGTGACTTGGGGAAAGATTTTGACATTGGATAATTTGAGAAAGAGAGGTAATACCATTGTTAACTAGTGTTGCCTATGTAAAACAGACGGTGAGTCCGTGGATCACATTCTTATGCATTGTCCTGTGGCGTATGATTGTTGGAATCTTATCTTCACGTTCAGTGGGTGATGCCTAAGCACTCTATTCAATTAATTAATGCATGGAGAAAATGCCCAGTTAAAGGTTATGCTCGTGATTTTTGGAGGATTGTCCTACATTATGTTTGGTGGTGTATCTGGAGAGAGAGAAATAACAGAAATTTTGAAGGGAAGGAAACGACTATAGCAAATTTAAAATCTCTTATTCTTCGTTTTCTTTTCTGTTATGTAAGAGAAAGCGCTTGCTCCTCAATTGCTGATTTATTTGATCTTTTGGACTCTATTGGTCCTTGGGGTTTTCGTTCTTGTGTATTAGGGACGCGTTCTCCTTTTGAACACTTTTCTATTATATTTTACTTATCAAAAAATAAGGTTTTCTAATTTGACTGAATTCTTTACATGCAAATCCTATTCCCCTTCCTCAATTCTAATGGGTAATGCTTATTTTATACTTATTTAAAATACAAAAATTTCTGCTGCTAATTGAGTTCCATTTCCCCAAGAATTAACCCTCCTGCTAGCCAGTTACTTTGGACTCCCAAATGCACGCAATTGCCTGCAAAACCATACTACATAAAACCTATTTCTATTCACTCAACTAACCCAACCCTCAATTTGAATATATTGGTGTAATAATGTTGTACCATTTGTCAATCTTAATTCCTTAATACTATATTATCTTCATTGTTCTGATTTCTTAGATCAG